AGCAACAGAACGAGATGAACAGCTGTGCGGTAGGATCGAAATTTACATGCGTTGCAAATAAGACAACAACAATATTCAGCGTGGCCAACAACGAAAACCCACGATCCTGCCAGGATTCGAACCTGGAATCTTCTGATCCGTAGTCAGACGCGTTATCCATTGCTCCACATGACCGATTGAAGGGGCGGGAGGGGAGGATATTTCGGGGAGGAGCAATGCAATGGTGTGGTGGGGCACGGATCAGGCAAGCTTAGAATGATCCTTCATCAAGGTCTGCTTGAAACGGTGCATAAATGCCATGTGTCCTCCCAACACGGCCGAAAGCGCGGAGTTATGTTCGTTTTGCTTGAACTTGTGAACTTAGAATCCAATGTGGAACCTAGCCCATGAAGTTGAAACTTTCTTTTCCGTCGCGTTCGGAGCTTCAGTCTACCGACACTTGAAAAGAAAGAGGGAAACATCTGCGAAAAACCTGTTTTGTTTTCTTTAGATGCATGTTAATCAGTTGTTCAGTACTGAGCCCCCAAAACCTTTTTCTAAAAGTTCCAAAAATGTGGTGTGTGCGTATTTTGCGACGCAGGCGCTGGACTGATTGACAAACATTCTGGTACTGCACACCTGGTTTTTAGCCATTTCAGCCCTTTACCAAATTAACTTGTATGCATACCGTGCTGGTTCCATGAAGAGATCTAACCTATAGTATTTTTATCTGTAGTAAGACGCGTTGTCCTTTGCGCCACAAAAACAACTGCCAGCATTTGGAGATGGGCTTTTCTTGCGCAGGAATGATACAACGGAACGGGGAGGGCTAAAAGTAATGGGTTAGGAAAGCTTGAAGAGATCATTGATAACATAAGGATTAAGTAAAGTGGCAGGGTCATGAGCTATGCTAGTGTCGTGAGGAAAATTCACTGAGGCTCTTATCTTTTGCATGATTTTTGATAAAACTCTCCCCAAGTTTACAAAGCTGAGCCCATCCGCAAATGTTAGATTGGATTCATCTATTCCATGGGTTGCTACAAATGAAAGTACTAAGTTACGCCAACCATCGGGATACACTTGAAAAGATTAAAAAGTGAGCGGTGCTCCTCCTGTGTGTGCTCTTACCACGTCGCTATAAATCATGTGGCAATGCTCTTCAACATTCTAGACATTCATCAGAACGTTTTCATAAGATGAAAAATCATATCATACACAGGGGTAACGCAATTCCGCGCGTGGGAGGAGGGGACAGGAGTGAAGAAAGCTGGAGTTAGGGTTTAACTGATCGGTGTGGTCTCTCCATCTCATGCCTGTCCTGGTGTGTAGTGCTGATCGGTGTGGTCTCCATCGGATGCCTGTCCTGGTATGTAGTGCTGGTCGGTGTGGTCCTTCCACCGTAGGCTGCTTCCGTCGTTTTTTAGTCGCCTCCGTCGTTTCAGGCTCTTGAGCTTCATTGGGTAATACAACAAGCACAGGATAATCAAGTTTAACAGTCTTACCTGAGTAGCCTGCAAACGATACCGATGCGTTAAAATATACTGACCACTGAGTGGTGCAATAAACTCTGGTTACGAAAAGAAGTTGACACATGTGCAGAGCAGCGGTACGATATGAAGAGATGAACAGGATGATTGAATGCACATGGCGTGCAAAAAAGAGAAAATAATGAAGAACAACACCATTTAGATTAGACGATATATCAGTGTGCCGACTGGTGTGCCGACGCACACCACACAAACACTGTGACTCTCTTTTTGCATGGCTTTACACAGCACCAATTCCTGAAAGCCGAAGCCATCCAGAATTGTTATACTGGATCCACCCATTGCATAGATTCCTACAAATGGATATACTAAGTGACACCGAATACCAGCATACAGCTAAAAAAGTTAAGGCGAGTGATGGGTGCACCTTTAGCGTATTTTCTTACCACGTCATCAAAAACCATGAGACAGTGCTCTTCCACATTCTAGAGCTAAGCAACAGAACGTTTTGATAAGGTAAAAAGTCCCATTATGCAAAGAGATAAAGCAATGGTGTGTGCGTGTGAAGAGGGGACAGGGGTCAGACGAGGTGGGGTCAGGGTTATTCTGATCGGCGTGGTCTCTCCACCGCATGCCTGCACTGGTGTGCTGTGTTAGTTGATGGAGTCTCTGCACTTGTTGCCTGTTCTGGCGTGCTGTGACAATTGGTGTGGTCCCTCCACTGTATGCCAGCTCTAGCAGGCTGCGCCGACCAGTGTGGTCTCTCCACTGTATGCCAGCTCTAGCGGGCTGCGCCGACCAGTGTGGTCTCTCCGTCGTACGTCAGGAACAACGCCATTTAGAATGTCCGATATGCTGCTGTTCTGGCTGGCACGCCGACGCACCACCAGCGGAGGAATGAGAAAAGTTCCGGACCTGCCAGAATTCGAACCTGGAATCTTTTGATTTGTGGTCTGACGCGTTACCCATTGCGCCACAGGACCGATTATCACCAGAAAGAGGAGAAGTATTCGGGCGAAAGAGTTATAAAAAGTGTGTGCGTGGGGAGGCGGGGGGGGGGGGGGGGGGGGGGCAGGTTGCACTGTTTTGTCTGTTGATTGATTTACTCTCTCAAACGTATGCATGTACTAGTGGGTCGTGCCGATCGGTGTGGTCTCTCCACCGTATGCCTGTCCTGGTCTGTAGTGCTGATCGGTATGGTCTCTGCACCGTATATTGTTACCGTCGCTATTTGTATGTTAAGGAAGGCTCTTAGGCCGTATTGGGTAATAAAACAAGGACAGGATACTCAAGTTTCACAGTTCACATGGGTATCCTGCATGCGACAAGGATACGTTAGAATATACTGACCACTGAACGCTGCCATAAACATAGGTAAACGAAAGAAGCTAAAACATGTACATAGCAACCGTGTGATATGAACGGATGAACAGCATGATTAACATGCACTTGGTGTGCAACACAAACGAATTAAAAAAAACGCCATTGATATTAGCTCACATTTCGCTGCGCGGACCAGTGCGCCGACACAACGGAAGGCCAGCCAGCGGAAGCAAAAAGAAAACCTGCGATCCTGCCAGGGTTCCAGCCAAAGAAGAAGCCCCTGGTTGCAGCGTTGATTGCACAGCTAGATTTATATTCAGATAAGTCACGCTTTCTTTAATGCACCGCTGCCTAAAACGTTTCCATTTGACCCAGGCAGCAAATAGAACCGCTCGGTCCCGCCAGGATTGAACCTGGAATTTTCTGCTCCGTAGTCAGACGTGCCACCCTCCTTCGCGCCCCAGGACAGCTTGTTCACAGCCCGAGGGAAGGTCTTCCGGAGAAAGGGTGTAGCAAGGGGGAGAAAGCGCAGGCGTAAGATGATCTTTGATCAGGGGTGGAATGAAGTGGACCGGGTAGATCACATGCTTTTCCGAGACGGCTGGAAACGCCGAAACTTTTGCTTTTATGTGCAGCTTGGCGGCCGGTGGGAGTTGGCACACCAAACGAGGCTCCTGCGAAGATCTGGTGCAGGACTTGCCTCTGCCACAGATTCATACTAGTTAAACTTGCCAATTACGCCCGCTACCAGTATACAACTCCAAAGTTATTTTTCGCAAGAACACATTGGCTTCGCTGCTGGTTTTTTTTGGTACCACTCCTTAAAAGCACGTATGTGCTTTTGCTTATCATTGAAGACATGTGGTCTCTTCCACAATGTGCCTGTGTTGGTGGGCTCCACCCATCGATGTCGCCTCTCCAGCGTATCCTGCTGCCGCTGCTATTCACCGGCTGATAATCCCCTTGAGCTTCAGGGATTATACGAAACGAAACGAAAGCAGGATGATCTGGGCCCACAGCCTCAAATGGTCAAAAGTGTGGTGCTTACTAAACGCTGCTATACATACAGGCTGAACAAAGGTTGAACCATGGGCACAGCAACAGAAGGAGATGAACATATTTACAGCAGGATAGAAATTTACATGCGTTGCAAATAAGATAACAACATTCAGCGTGGCCAACAACGAAAACCCACGATCCTGCCAGGATTCGAACCTGGAATCTTCTGATCCGTAGTCAGACGCGTTATCCATTGCGCCACAGGACCGATTGCAGGGGCAGAAGGGGAGGGTATTTCGGGGGAGGGGCAATGCAATAGTGTGGTGGGGCACGGATCAGGCAAGCTTGGAATGATCCCTGATCAAGGTCTGCTTGAAACGGTGCATGCATGCCATGTGTCCTCCCAACACGGCCGAAAACGCGGAATTATGTTAATTTTGCTTGAACTTGTGAACTTAGAATCCAGTGTGGAACCTAGCCCACGGAGTTCAGACTTCCTTTTCCGTCGCGTTCGGAGATTTAATCTATCGACATTTGGGAAGAAAGGGGGAAAAATCTGGGAAAAGCATGCTTTGTTTCCTTTGGATGCATGTTAATCAGTTGTTCACTACTGGAGCCCCCAAAACCTATTCCTAAAAGTTCCAAAAATGTGGTGTGTGCGTATTTTGCGACGCAGGCGCTGGACTGCTTGACAGACGTTCTGACACCCCTGTGCATGATATGATTTTTCATCTGATGAAAACATCCTGATGAATGTGCTGACCGGTGTGGTCGCCCCACCATATGTCTGTCCTCATGGGTAGCGCTGATCGGTGTGGTCTCTCCACCGTATGCCTGCACCGGTGTGCTGTGTTAGTTGATAGAGTCTCTGCACTTTTTGCCTGTCCTGGCGCGTTGTGTGCGTTTTTGCCTGTCCTGGCGAGTTTTCACTGTATGCCAGCTCTAGCGGGCTGCGCCGACCAGTGTGGTCTCTCCACTGTATGCCAGCTCTAGCGGGCTGCGCCGACCAGTGTGGTCTCTCCACTGTATGCCAGCTCTAGTGGGCTGCGCCGACCAGTGTGGTCTCTCCACTGTATGCCAGCTCTAGCGGGCTGCGCCGACCAGCGTGGGCTCTCCGCCGTACGTCAGGAACAGCGCCATTTAGAATGTCCGATATGCTGCTGTTCTGACTGGCACGCCGACGCACCATCAGCGGAGGAATGAGAAAAGTTCCGAACCTGCCAGAATTCGAACCTGGAATCCTCTGATTCGTAGTCTGACGCGCTACCCATTGCGCCACAGGACCAATTATCACCAGAAAGAGAAGTATTCGGGCGAAAGAGTTATAAAAAGTGTGTGTGTGGGGGGGGGGGGGGGCATGCTGCACTGCTTTGTCTGTTGATTGATTTGCTCTCTCAAACGTATGCATCTCGCGGGTCGTGCCGATCGGTGTGGTCTCTCCACCGTATGCCTGTCCGTGTGGGTAGTGCCGATCAGTGTGGTCTCTCCACCGTATGCCTATCCTTGTGGGTGGTGTCGATCAGTGTAGTCTCTCTACAGTATGCCTGTCCTGGTATGTAGTGCCGATCAGTGTGGTCTCTCCACCGTATGCCTATCCTTGTGGGTAGTGTCGATGAGTGTAGTCTCTCTACAGTATGCCTGTCCTGGTATGTAGTGCCGATCAGCGTGGTCTCTCCACCGTATGCCTGTCCTGGTATGTAGTGCCGATCGGTGTGGTCTCTCCACCGCATGCCTGTCCTGGTATGTAGTGCCGATCAGTATGGTCTCTCCGCCGTATGCCTGTCCTGGTACGTAGTGCCGATCAGTGTGGTCTCTCCACCGTATGCCTGTCCTGGTATGTAGTGCCGATCAGTGTGGTCTCTCCGCCGTATGCCTGTCCTGTTGGGCTCCGCCCATCGATGTCGTCTCCCCAACGTATACTGCTGCCGTCGCTATTTTCTGGCTGATGATGCTATTGAGCTTCAGAGATAAGACAACGAACGCAGGATGATCTAGGTCCACAGTCTCAGATGAATATCCTGCATACAAGGCCTTTCGGTTGAGTATGCACCAAAACAACAACACTGACACTAAACGTTGCTATACGTACAGGCTGAACAAAGGTTGAACTATGGGCAGAGCAACAGATCGATGTGAACGTATGTGCAGCAGGGTATAAATGTACATGCCTGGCAAATAAGACAACCACATTTTGCGTGGCCAACAACGAAAATCCACGATCCTACCAGGATTCGAACCTGGAATCTTCTGATCCGTAGTCAGACGCGTTATCCATTGCGCCACAGGACCGATCGAAGGGGCGAAATGGGAGGGTATTTCGCGGGAGGGGCAATGCAATGGTGCGGTGGGGCGGGTGTCAGGCGAGCTTAAAATGATCCCTGATCAAGGTCCACGTAAAGGGATGCATAAATGCCATGTGCTCTACTAACACGACCGAAAGCACGGAATTATGTTCGTTTTGCGCGATCTTGGCGAAATTGGAATCCAATGTGGAGGCTAGCCCATGGAGGGGTGATGTATTCCGTCACGTTTGGGGCTTCTGTCCACCGACCTTTGAGAACAAATTGGGAAAAGTAGGCGAGAAACCTGTTTTGTTTGCTTTGGATGCATGTTGTTCTATTGTTCACTGATTAACCCCCAAAACCTATTCCTGGAAATTCAAAAAAATCAGGTGAATACATGTTGTGCGACGAGGGCGCTGGATCGAGAAAAAAACCCTGACGCTGCTTGCACACCTGGTTTTGAACCATTTCACCCTTTTACAATATGAAGTTGCATGGTGCTAGTTCCGTGAGGAAATCTAGCCTAGAATATTTTTATTCGTAGTAAGACGTGTTAGCGATTGTGTCACAGAAACATCTGCCAGCATCAGAGATGAGCCTTTTTTTGCACAGAAATAAAGCAATGGAGAGGAGAGGGCTGAGAGCTAGGGGTTAGGAAATCTTGAGGATAGTTGAAAAGATATGCCTTAAGGGAGAGGAGGGGATTGGGTCATGTACTTTGCTGGCGTCCGGGGAAAAAAATCGCTGATGTCCTTATCATTTACATGACGTTTGATGCAAATGACACGAAATCAAGTCGACAAATCGCAAAGTTGACACCATCTAGAAATGCTATGCTGGATCTACCTTTTCCGCGAATTCGTCCGAGTGAAAGCACTTTGTTACGCCAAATATCGGAATTTAACCGAAAAGATGAAAATGGAACTGCGTTACCCCTGCAAACTTTCTTACAACGTCGCAAGAAATCATGAGGCAATGCTCATCAAACATTCCAAGGTCATTGAACAGAACCTTATCATAAGGTGAAAAACCACGTTATGCACAGGGGTAATGCAATTACGTGCGTGGGGAAGGCGGCGGGATGACCCAGCCTGGGGTTGGGGTTCTACTGGCCGGTGCGCTCCCGCCATTGTATGTCTTGCCCTGGTGTGTTGCGCTAATTGGCCGAAAGCTAGGCTAGCCGAAACATTGCTGTGTCGACTGGTGCTCCAACGCACTGCCAGTGGAAGCAAAGAGAAAAGCCTCGATCCTGCCAGGATTCAAACCTGAAATCTTCTGATCCGTAGTCAGACGCGTTATCCATTGCGCCACAGGACCGATTGTCATCAAAAATGAGAGGACTTTTCTGCGATGGGGTTATGGGGTTATCCAAGGGAGAGCGGGGGGGGGGGGGGAGGAGGGGCGGCACTGGCTGGTCTTCCAATTGATGTAGTCTCTCCACCGTATGCCCGTTCTGGTGGGTAAGTGTCGATCTGCATGGTCTCCCCAACGCATGCTGCTACTGTCGTTATGTGTACGTTGATGAGGCTCTTGAGCTTTATTGGGTAATACAACGAACACAGGATAATCAAGGTTAACAGTCCCACGTGAGTGTTCTGCATAGAATGTCGATAGGTTAAAATATACTCCTGCCGCTGAGTGGTGCTATAAACACAGGTAAACGAAAAAAGTTTGATCATGTGCAGAGCAACGGTAGAATATGAAAGCATAAACAACATGATTGAAATGCCCCTGGCGTGTAATACAAGTCCATGAAGAACAGCGTCATTCAGGCTAGCCGATCTATCGATATGCCGACTGGTGCACCGACGCACCGCCAGCGGAGGCGATGAGAGAAGCTGCGATCCTGTCAGGATTCGAACCTGGAATCTTGTGATCAGATCAGATCTGATCTTCAGTCAGACGCGTTATCCATTGCGCCACAGGATCGATTTATCGGGCAGAAGGGGAGGGTATTTCGGGGAGACGAAAGAAGAGCGAGGGGGGGGGGAGGCTGGGAACCAGGCATCAGGAAGGCCTGAAATGCCCCCTGATCAAGGTCCGCTTGAAAGGACACATAAATGCCGTTTGCTCTTCCAACACGGCCGAAAACGAGGTATATGCTCATTTTGCTTGATCTTGTTGAAATTGGCATCCAATGTGGAATATAACCCGGGGAGGCTATTTCGCATCCCGTCGCGTTGTGAACTTGAGTCCACGAACCTTTGAGAAAAAAGTGGGAGAGGGCCGGTGAGAAAGCTGTTTTGTTTTTGGATGCATGGCAATCCACTGTTCACTGCTTAACACCAAGATCTATGCTTGGACGGCCGAAAAATCTGGTGGATGCATGTTTCGCTGGACCAGTTGAAACAAGTTTCGACACCGAACAATGCAAGCTTGAATTCCAACCATTTTAGCCTTTCACAACCTGAAGCTGTGTGATTTCCATGTTAGTTTCATGCAGGAATCTGTCCTAGAATGGTTTTATCCACAACAAGACGCGTTATCAATTGCACCACATAATCAACTACCAATATTTGGAGGTGAGCTATTCTTCTGCAGGAACAATACATGAGATCATTGATGAAATGTGGATTGAGGGAGGGAGGGGCGGGGGGCAAGTCATGAGCTACGCTAGTGCGCAAGAAAACGAAACATTGAAAATCTTATCTTTTGCATTATTTTTTGTACCAATGGCACCGAATCTGCGAAGCCAACCCAATTCAAAATTTTTAGGGGATCCAGGTATTCCATAAAATCCTACAAATGCAGCTACTGATGCCACAACGTGCATTCAGCTACAACTGAAAAGTCAAAAAAATAAGATGTGCCCGTTTGTGTATTTTCCAACCACGCTGTCATAAATCATGGGGCAATGCTCTGGAACATTCTAGAGGCATTCAACAGGACGTTTTCATAAGGTGAAATATCGCGTTAGCCACAGGCGTAATGCATTGGTGCGTATGGGAGGAGTGACAGGAGGAGCAAGCTGATGTAAGGGGTTACACTGATCGGTCTGTTTCTCACCGCCGTATGCCTGTACTGTTTGTTCTCAGCGCCGTATGCCTGTACTGTTTGTTCTCACCGCCGTATGCCGTACTGTTTGTTCTCACCGCCGTATGCTGTACTGTTTGTTCTCACCGCCGTAATGGCTGTTACTGTTTGTTCTCACCGCCGTATGCCTGTTCTGTTTGTTCTCACCGCCGTATGCCTGTACTGTTGGCATTTTGCAACTGGCGCGGTCTCTCCACCGCTGATGTCTGCACTGGTGTGCTGCGTCAGTTTGATACAGTCGCTCCAACTGCAATGCCTTTTCCTGGTGTGCTCTGACCATTGGCATGGTTTCTCCACTGTAAATCTAGTCTGGTGTGTTCTTGCAACAGGTATAGTCTCTCCACCGTATGTCTACACGGTATGAAGTATCGATCGATATGGTCTCTCCATTATATGCTTGTGATGGTGGGTAGTGCCGGTCAACGTGTCGTTCCATCGTATGCCTGATAATTCAAGAGATCATTGATGAAATGTGGATTAACTGAGGAAGAATCGGGCCATGAGCTATGCTAGTGTCGCGAGAAAAACAAAGCATTGACATTCTATCTTTTGCATGCTTCTAATACAAATGATATCAAATATGCGAATCCCACCCCATTCAAAATGTTATGCGGGATCCATCTATTGCATGAATTCCTACAAAAGCAGCATTATTTACTCCAAGGATCGGGATGCAACTGAACAGGCTAAAGTAGCTGTGTTCCTTTTCTGTATTTTCTTTCCACGCCGTCACAAATCATGAGGCAGTGCGCTTCAATATTCTAGACGCTTTAAAGTTAAAAAATTCAACAGGACGTTTTCACAGTGTGAAACATGGACGTTATGCACAGAGCTAATGCATGGTGTGTATGTGTGGGAGGAGGGCCGGGGAGGCAAGCTGGGGTTAGGGTATGCTGACTGGTTGTGATCTCCCCACCGTTGATGTCTGCACTGGTGTACTGTTGTCTTCCGTTGTGTGTCCTGTCCTGGT